ACCCAAAAAAACTCTGCCAGAAGACTTCTAGACTTAATTGACAGATTCAGTAGAGTAGCTGGATACAAGGTCAAAACTCAAAAAACAATAGCCTTCTTGTACACAAATAACAGACTCACTGAAAGAGAAATTAGGGAAACAATCCCTTTCACAATAGCATTCAAAAAAATGAAATATTTAGGAATCAATCTAACAAAGGAAGCAAAAGACCTCTACATTGAGAACTACAGCACTCTGAAAAAAGAGATCAAAGAGGATATAAGAAAATGGAAAGACATCCCCTGTTCCTGGGTAGGAAGAAGCAATATAGTGAAAATGGCCATACTTCCAAAACTGCAATACAGATTCAGTGCAATCCCAATTGAAATCCCAGCAGCGTATTTCACAGAACTAGCAAAAACAATCCAAAAGTTCATCTGGAACCAGAAGAGACCTAGAATAGAAAAAGCAATTCTAGGTGACAGAGACATGGCAGGGGGTATCACAATCCCCAACCTGCAACTCTACTACAAAGCTACTGTGATAAAAACAGCATGGTACTGGCAAAGAAATAGACCTGAGGATCAGTGGAATAGATTAGAATATGCAGAAACAACTCCAGACATACTCATCCACCTCATCTTTGACAAAGGAGCCAACCACCCTCACTGGAGGAAAGATAGCCTCTTTAATAAATGTTGTTGGAAAAATTGGATTTCAACTTGCCAAAGATTAAAACTAGACTCCTATCTGTCACCATGCACTAAACTAAAATCGAAGTGGGTTAAAGATATTAAAACAGAAACACTAAACTTGCTGGAATACAAGTTAGGTAGAACTCTCGAAGACATTGGCATAGGAAACGACTTTATGTTTTTTGTTGTTTTTTTCTTTTTGGTACCAAGAATAGAACTCAGGTCTCTCCACTTGCAAGCCAGGCGGTGGAACCAATGAGCTAAATCCCTGGCCCAGGAAAGGACTTTATGAACAAATCCTCAGTAGCACGGGAACTAGCACCAATACTCAACACCTGGGATCTCATCTTATTAAAAACTTCTGCACTGCAAGAAAAACCACCAGCAGAGCTAAGAGACAACCTACTATGTGGGAAAAAATTTTTACCAGCTGTTCCTCAGACAAAGGTCTACTATCTAGAATATATAAAGAAGTAAAAAAAAATCAGACTCCCCAAATGTAAAGACCCAGTTCAAAAATGGGCATCTGAAATGAACAGACATTTCTTAGACGAAGTAAAAGCAGCAAATAAACATGAAAAAATGTTCAACATCACTGATCAGTTGAGAGATGCAGATGAAAACAATGCTGAGATTCCACTTTACCCCAGAAAGAATGGCTGCTATCAAGAAATCAACCAATAACAAATGCTGGGAGGGTTGTGGGGAGAAAGTAGCCCTTCTTTATTGTTGGTGGGAGTGCAGACTGGTGCAACCACTGTGGAATCAATATGGAGATACCTCAAACAACTACGATTGAAAGTCCCATTTGACCCAGCTATTTCTCTATTGGGTATCGTCCCAAAAGAATTAAAAGAATCATACCACAGTGTTATATGTGCACCCATGTTTATAGCGGCACAATTTGTAATAGCTAAAATGTGGAAACAGCCCAATTGCCCATCAACTGG